CCTCCAGGACACGGACACACACACACACACACACACACACACACACACCTTCTTTTTCTGTTTCTAGGCTTTGCTCAGACCGTTCACCTGCCTGGAATGCTCTCACCCCTGCCTCTTTAAGTACTATTTGTCCTTCAAAGCCAAGTTCAACATCCTCTCCAATGTCTACCAGGGGGCAGAAATATTCTCTTTGGCTTCTATATAACTAGTACTTTATAAATAATTCACTTGGTATTTCTTTGATGCCTTGTGTAATTGGCCAGTTTTATCTGTGTTCATTTCACTAGACTGTACCAGAGGGTACAAACAGAACTATCTGGTGATCTGTTGCTACTGCTTCATCCTTTGGCTCAACGGTGTGTACACAGCAAACAATCATATATATTTGACTGAATAATTGGTTAAAAATATTATTTATTCACTCATTCAACAAATATTTATTGACTATCCAATATGTGATAGGTGCTGATATAGCACTACAAAAATACAATTAAAACTCACAGATAAAAATTTCTGCCTTCATGGGACTTATTTCAGGTGGAGGATACACATAATTTTTTTAATGTAAGCTATACATAATATTAGAAGTTTCTAAGTGCCATGAAGAAAAATAAAGCAGGGAAGGAAATTAAGGAGTACAAGGAGGAGGTGAAGGCCTCTCTGAGAAAGTGACATTTGAGTAAAGACTTGAATGAGGCTACGGAGCAAGGTATACAGATACCTAGAAGAAGAACATTCCAGGCAAAGGAAGAGCAAGTGCTGTAACTGTGAGGCAGGGATGTGCCTAAAATATTCAAGGGAGACAAAGAGGCTTTTCCCTGCCACCTGATTTGGAAGATATTTGCTACTCAGAGTGAGGAAAGTAAGCATCAGCCTAACCTGTCATAAAAAACGTACTTCTGATGCTTTTTCCATGTAAAAGACATGCTCTGAGTCTACCGTGTTCTAAAATGGCCATTTCTGCATACTCACGTTCACAGGAACATTATTCACAATAATCAGGAGGTTGAAGCAACCCAAGTAAGTGTCCTCTGACAGATGAATGGGTAAACAAATGTGGTACATGCATACAATGGAATTCAGCCTTAAAAAGGAAATTCTGACACATGCTACAACATGGATGATTCCTGAGGACATTATACCAGTCACAAAGGGAAATATACTATATGACTCCACTCATACGAGGTACTTAAGAGTAATCAAATTCAGAGGCAGAAAGTAGAATGGTTGTCAGCAACTAGAGCAGGGGTGGGCAAACTTTTTGACTCGAGGGCCACAATGGGTTCTTAAACTGGACCGGAGGGCCGGAACAAAAGCATGGATGGAGTGTTTGTGTGAACTAATATAAATTCTAAATAAACATCATTACATAAAAGGGTACGGTCTTTTTTTTCAATAGTTTTATTCATTTAAAACGGGCCGGATCCGGCCCGCGGGTCGTAGTTTGCCCACGGCTGAAGGACAGGGGGATAGGGAGTTATTGTTTTTGCGAGATAAAAACATGAAGATGGATGGTGGTGATGCTCACACAACAATGTGAACATACTTCACACTACTGAACTTTACACTTAGAAATGGTTACGATGAAAAAATTGTTGTGATGCGCTTTTTACCACAATTTTTAAAAAAAAAGACGTGCAGGTGCCAGAGGCAGACCATGTGGTTTCAAATACTGGCCAAATGTCCAGTGAGGTACCTGGCTCATAGTAAATGCTTGGTAAACATTTCTTCTTATGATGATCAACGATCCATTCTATGTTACCCTATTTTATTTATATAAAAGTTTTTCTTTCATTATTGATTTCAGCAGTTACTTGCAGAATCCTGTACTGTCTGTAATTTTGATTCATTTCCTTCCTAATGCATCTTTTCAAAATGGAATTTAATTTTAATAGCTGTATTTGCCTTACGCACGACTAACAAAACTAACAAAATAAAAAAATAAAAACACAACAGAGAGTCCACTTTTGCTCACAAGCAAAAAGTGTATCAGAGATGAAGTTCTTAGCAATCAAAGACAAGCTCACCAGCCAGTCGGACAGAAAGGCAGTACTCATTCAGGAAGAATCTAAATCAAAGAACTGTTAGGCCCTAGCCAGTCTGGTTCAGTGGACAGAGCGTCGGCCTGTGGACCAAAGGGTCTCTGGTGTGATTTGGGTCAAGGGCATGCACCTAGGTTGCAGGCTCCTCCCTGGCCCAGGGCTTGTGCAAGAGGCAACCAATCAATGTGTTTCTCTCACATCATTGTTTCTCTCTGTCTTTCCTTCTCTCTTCCACTCTCCCTAAAAATCAATGGGAAAATATCCTCCGGTGAGGATTAACAAACAAAACAAAAAGAAAGAAAACGGTTAGTGCCGAGAGCAGACGGGGTTTGGTGAGCTGTCTAACCTGCATGGGATTAATCTTCACCGAGCGCTCAAAGCACTGCACGCACTCCTTAAACTCCTTGTTCCGCAGGTGAAGGAGGCCCTTGGAGCGCTGAGCACGGGCACTGCGGTGCCGGGACAGCTCCCAGGCCTTGTCATAGCAGCGGTGGTCACGGAGGACATCTCCGAGCAAGCAGTACAAACTTGGCGTTTCTTTTTTCTCCAGCTCTTGCCTAAGGATTTCTTCTGCCTAGAAATAACAACAGAAATAACTAAATTGCTTTTAAGTTTATTGTTTAAAGGTAAACATCTTTTAACTCACAGAATCCAAAACTTCACTTTCAATGTTTAAGATGACCAGGTTAGTTCATGCATTTAGAACACAGGCTGAATAAGAAAATAACCAAAATAAATATGAAGTTTTAAAATATCCATATAATTCCCTTATTTGCAGATAATATAATAGTTATTAATGTATCTAACCATAACTCTGTAAGGTTACATTCTCTCTATTTATATATAAAAATTTATATATAGATAGGTATAGATATATTCAACCAAATTATGTAACAGACTGTAGCCACAGCAGGATTTTTACTGAAATGATCTTCCAGTGTAGGTGAAGGCATTCTCTTGGCAGCATGGTACTGAAACTAGATACCCTCTCCCTCCCAGAAATTCTAAAGGCTAGTTCATTTAATAAGTTCTTTCCTGCTTCAACCAGTTCAAGTGGATTCTGAGGTCTGCAATTAAGCAATGCCCCTCATAGTAACTGGATACAGAAGTGCTTGCAGTGTTCTCTCTCATGATCACTGGATCCTCATTGTCTTCAAATCAAACTTGATTAGATAACTAATCACAAATATTCATTTTCTGTAGAACTGCTGAATTATAGTACAGATGACTTCAGATTCACCAGTTCCATGTGCAAGGAAGGTTAGGCATCTGATTGGGTTAATCAATTATGTTCTACTCATTCGTCTTATTTCCTCTATTGCCTTTTAGCTATACTAGGCACATCATTTTATTATTTTTTAATGGTTGCTCTAGGGCAGTGATGGCGAACCGGTGACACGCGAACTCATTTTTTTGGTTGATTTTTCTTTGTTAAATGACATTTAAATATATAAAATAAATATCAAAAATATGTAAGTATTTGTTTTACTGTGGTTGCAAGTATCAAAAAATTTCTATATGTGACACGGCACCAGAGTTAAGTTAGGGTTTTTCAAAATGCTGACACGCCAAGCTCAAAAGGTTCCCCATCACTGCTCTAGGGCTACTCATATGCATCTCCAATTTACCAATATTCATTTACCATTATTATTGTATCACCTCACCTTTCTCACATCACAAGTGGCCATTAAGCTAATCAATGTGAAACAGTCTATTTTTGTATTATTATTTATTAGTTACTTTATTATTTTCCGTAATAACAACTGGCCAAATGTCCAGTGAGGTACCTGGCTCATAGTAAATGCTTGGTAAACATTTCTCTGTCTTTGAGAACTAGCCTCTACTATAGCAAAAAACAGAATCCATCTTTGCTGCCTGCTTCAGGGAAGAAGGCTAAAATTAGAAAATGTGCCCCAAGTTGTTGATTTAGCAGCCTGTGTGAGCAAGCTCGCGCATGCGCCTGCACAGACACGCACACATTTTTTTTAAAGCCTAAAGCTATTGTCAGGAGGACAAATCTGACTATTAGTACTCCATTAAATTCTTAGCCTGACCATTTTCCTGTCCCCTTGGAACAAACCGCTAGCTGTTAAGCCCACCCCTGTCATTTCTGTAGTCCTCAAAGGCTCTTTATAGTTAGTACCATTCTGGGCCTGGAGCTCGTTTCCCACCTTCATTCTTTGCCAGGAGGGCTTCTTACAGTTGTTGGTTTGCCAATTCCCCATTTTTATATACTGACCAGAGGCAAAGTCAGATGAGCGCCACTCTTATCATATGCTAGAATTTTCAGCTCCTTCTGCTAATTCACAGAATCAAGGCACCAATCACAGCCAAGAAGGGCATACAGTAAGTAAATCTAGATTTCTTGGCATCTCTTAACGAATAAATGATGTGGAAACACTCGTCTTTGGCGTTCGAACTGCCTTTCGGACTAAAGGCACCTACATCCTCACAGATCTTATGGTTGGAAGACTGTAGGATGGATTATGTAACAGTTTTCTAGGGATGTGTTATTAAGTGTTTTGGTTGTAAGAGAACCATCATAATAGCTTAGGATAAGAAACAAAGGGGGGGGGGTGACTTATTGATTCATGCACCTGAAAACTCCTACAGACCTATCAGATAGCTGTATCCAGGGGCTGAGACAATGCCATCGTGCCTTTGTAGCTCTCCATGAGCAAACAAGAAGGGCCCACGTTTAGTAATCCTAATGCAAACATAGAGTCAATGCAAGGCTAACAGAAAGGTTCCACTGAAGACGGGAGGGCCTGAGTCATGTGTCCTCGTCTCTGATAGAACCACATGGAAAGGGTTCTCTCAGGGAGAGGAGTTCTGTTATCAGATGATCAGGGAAGGGTTGCTGAGCAGGAAAAAAGCAACTGGTGTCCACCATGAGATGGGAATTTAATGCTCTAGGTCTGAAGTTGTAAGAGGTATTTTGTTTGGCTTACGCAGTGTTTTAAAAAAAATTAGAGTAAACATTTTCAGGCTGTTTTGTTTAAAAATCTAGATTTCTTGGCATCTCTCAAAGAATCAAATGACGTGGAAACACTGGTCAAATTCCCACATTGTTGTATTAATTGGTTGGAGTGGAGCCGCGGCTCCTCTTTTGTATGCTCACTCCCCAGCCTGTTTCATTCATTCTCAGCAATTGGCAAGGACCTCTGGGCACTTGAGTACGTGACCCTCGCTGTGAGCAGAAACTTTCTCAGGTAAAGTAAATCGAGTGTAATTTATTCTAGCCATAACTGTAGGTTCTGCTTAAGTCTTGGCTGACTTAATGTTATACTCAGATTCACTACGTGTAGTCATTGCCACAAACTTGTATTAAGAAGAAGAATTAGTTGCATACAATTGCAAAATAGAACAGACTGTTGAAACAGCCCACATGTGAAATATATATGTGTGTGCGCAGAGAAGTGGTCTTTGGCGTTTGCAGCTGACAGGATTCTTACAAGCACTTCAGATTCATTGCGGCCAGTTGCCTATGTAAGTATGACTGTATGTTTGGGAATGTATTTTTTATCCCATTGAAAAGACATTTCGGTGACAAATTTCTTGCGGCCCATAGGGAAGTAGCAATCCATAGCCATAAATACTAAAGCTTTTTCATTCTGTGAAGGTTTCTGGCCTCCCATATTTAATATTGCAAAAGTGACATTACAAACCCTTATGCTTTATTAATGTTCACTGGGCATATCTTTTGTAATTTTTTATTGGATAATAAATTATGTAAATTGAGTGGGTAAGTGGAGGAGGTAGGAGAACATTTGGAGAGAGTGAAGAAGACTGAGGAATGCAATGTAACTAATTGAAGGAAGAAATATATTGCCTGCAAGCATTGCCCTTGGGAAAGATAATTCTGTTGGCAGGACAAAGAAGTGGAAGATCTCTAGGAGAAAGAATTGACTTCTAACAGAAAAATGTGGGATAGGAATTCGAGGAAAAAAGAGGCCAGTTCAGACAAAGTCACTGCTCTGGTGTTTCTGACCTTTAGAAGCTGCCCCACTCTGGCCCTCCAGAACTGTCTTCCAGTGGATAAAATACCTGGCATTGATGTTGTTTGGTAACCAGAAATTGCATACCACCCACTCTCTATTTTCTTTATTCTTACAAGTGTTGAGGTAGGTATCTGGTGGAGGAAGCATCTGAAATCCTCAGTACCTTAGCGTTTCCAAATGTGAAGTTTCTCATGATTACTAATAATCTTCCATTTGCAATTTTTGTTTTCTTTGACAAGGGTTGCAAATATTAGGTCTGTGCTATATGTCTTTGGACTCTGGTGAATCTTCATGGTCTAAAATACAGTCCAATTAGAAGTAAAATAAATATCTGTAGAATGGTAGTTTTTTATTCTGCAAATTCTTTAAGGGTATGATTTGATATTGAGTCTCGGGTCCTATTTTAAGTGTGGGACGCCTGTGGAGTATAGTATTTTCTTATAATCCTTTTTATTTCTGTAGTAATTTCTCTTCTTTTATTTCTGATTTTAGTACTTAAGAGTATAAAGAACCACCTTTTGGTTTACTCTTCTTTTACTAGTTTTTTATGGTGGAAAATTCGGTGATAGATTTGAAATCTTTCTCCTTTTTTAATATAGGCATTTATAGCTATAAACTTTCCTCTAAGAATTGCTTTCACTTCATCCCATCAATTACAAATACATATGTATTTGTAATTTATCTCAAAGTGTTTTTAATTTCCCTGTGATTTCTTTTTTGACCTATTGGTTTTTCAGGAGTGTGTTAATTTCTACATACTAGTGACTTCCTCAAATTTCATTCTGTCAGTGATTTCTAATTTCTTCTCATTGTGACTGAAGGGCATACTTTGTATAAAAGACTTCCAGTCCTGTTAAAGAGCTCAGACTTAATCCTGGAGACAAAGGGAAGTTACTGAAGACTGTGGGAATGACATGATCAGATTAGTCTTTTAGGAAGATCATTCTGAAGTGTGGGAAAATAGCTTGTGGGAAATCCTTTCAATCATATAAAAAACTATTTTAGAAGAAGAAAAAACAAAAAACCCAAACCAACTGCTAAAAGAATCCCAGCTGTTAAAAATGTTAAAGGTTAAAAACATTTACAACGTAAAGAACAATATTTAAGAGCCCATGCCGACAATGATGTGCAAATATAGCATAATAAAAGAGAAAACTACATAATCGCAGGTAAACCTTATTTGTTAAAAACAAGAGAGGCCCCAACCCTTCGCTCTCCACCCCCTTCACCCCCATCCCTTACAACCACCTTATGCCAGCCAGTGCAGTCTTTATCTTTCATTTAGGGACCAAATTTGCTCAACAAAATAAGTTGTCCACATGTTGGGGAAACTGCTATAGTATGCCAGATAATTTTTAAAAATTAAATGCTAACAGATGAGAGCCAGGTCTGACCCCAAGGTCAAGCAAAATTAACCTTAGCTAGTTTGCCAATGGTCATTAAATAATGAGAATTTCCATAGATAGTTCCTAAATTAGAAAATCTGAGACCCTACAATAGCAGGTGAAAAAATAAGCACCAGAACACTATGATTAGAATTAGGTACTTTTCCAAGTTTGCCTTTTAAAAAGAAATTATGCCACTAAGCACTAAATTCAATAATTAAAATTGTATTGTGACAACTACTGGCACATAACCAATTACTAAAAGAATCTCAGCTGTTTTAGAAATAAAACTTTTGCTTCCAAATTGAAGCAAAACTTTTTAGGGTCTTGTGGTTAAATTGATCAGCTAATACAGCATATGACAAACGAATAGGTAAGGGAAGTCTTTTATGTGGCAAATAAAATGCTAAAGTCAAACTTTAAAATCAGGATTTTGAGAAATGTTTGGCTGTAACTCACAAAAGACTTAAAACAAAGTAAATAATTATACATTCCTAAAAATTAAAATATGTGCATTTTCTAGAATAATTATAAACATGGAAATTTATCATTATTATAAGACATTTCTTATAAGGTTAAAAACATGTGCAAATTAAAAAAAAATAATGCTACAATTACTCTGAGGACATAGTCAAATCTATTATCTGAAAAGGATAGATTCATTATATGTTTGCTTCTGCAGTTAGAGAAAGTCTCTACTTTCCATACTTTCTAAAAATAATTAAACAAATGTAATATTTCAAAATAGGCTTTGGGTATTTGTGATTCACCAACTTGTTTAATTATTTCAAAAAACCACCATATTTTTATATACAGTATTATTTATGTTTACTGACCAATGTAAAAGACTAGCATATTGAAGAATGATGTAATGAGAAGTACATCAGACTAGCAGGATCAAGATATTCATTCATCCATTCATTCCTTTGTTAAGCCAACATCTGAATACTACTTCAGTGCCAGACAATGGACCCTAAAAATATTTTAAGTCCCTGAAGAAATATGATACTATATCTCATCAAATTTGGGATGCCGTCAATTATAGGACTAACTCTTAACTAATAAAGAAAAATGCTTTCAATTAAATTATGACATAATGCCTTGAATAAATCACATCAGCCTCTCATATTTTGATATTTTTTCAATCTATTCAAATAAATTGGCAATTTTTCCTGCCTTCTTTCAATATATTGCTTGACATTATAAATGGCAGCCTTTCTTTATATACAGAACTGTACAGAATAAGATTCATTTACTTAGGGGTATCTTCTTTTCTTAGCTCCCACAAAGCACCTAGTTGTTGTTTTTAAGGAAAAGTAAATGGAATTGTGATGATTTCTCCAATAACAAATGTTTACTTCCCTAATATCAAATTTACATTTTTTACTTTGCTTCTCTCCTTTCCTGTTTGTTCAATAACTTTCTGTCTCAATACTAACTTATAATGGGATTTTTCTGAAAATATTTAAAATGGCAATTACATCCAACCCATGTAGCACTGACACCATGCACATAATGCAATCAAAGTGATGGTATGAAATATGGCCACAACTGGACTTGTACAAGCACAGGCAATGACAGCGTGGCCAGGAGGCCACCTCACTGATAGCAACTGGGAGGTGCCATCAAGTGTTAGATACATTCCAAATTCAGAGATGTTCAAATGTGAAAAAAAATGTGTCTTAGAATAGCAGCAGTAATAGCAGCAAACCTCATGTAGCACCATGAAGAAAGCACAATTCTATGTACTTTACATACATTATGTCATGAAAACCTATAAGGTCATAGATTATGTGCCTCTAGATGAGAAAACTGAGGCATGGGACAACTTACCCAAAATCACATGGCTAGCATGTGTCAAGTCCAGCATTTGAATCAAGATAACCTGGGTCTGGAGCTGCACTTTTAACCACTGTGCCATGCAACCTCTCAAGTTAATGATCAATAACTGGCCTTGTGACCTGAGGCAAATCATTAGAGACCCCTTTCTTTATGTGAAAAAATAGGGAACTAAAATGGGTAATATGAAGCTCTTCCCCAGGATGAAAACATTATAATTACACCAGAGGCCCGGTGCACAAAATTCATGCACTGGGTGGTGGTGGGGGGGGGAGAGGATTCTTCAGCCCGGCCTGTGCCCTCTCACAGTCTGGGAGCCGCCAGCCGGGTAGCCTGGGGCTCCCTCTGCAGGGCGATCGTGGGGCGATGGCAAGGCCCCCCCAACTAATCGCATCGCACCCGCCTTGGTGGCAGCAGTCTGTGCTGGGCCTTTCATGCACTGGGTGGTGGTGGAGGGGGAGAGGATTCTTCAGCCCGGCCTGTGCCCTCTCACAGTCTGGGAGCCGCCAGCCGGATAGCCTGGGGCTCCCTCTGCAGGGCGATCGTGGGGCGATGGCAAGGCCCCCCCAACTAATCGCATCGCACCCGCCTTGGTGGCAGCAGTCTGTGCTGGGCCGTCATAGTGCCCGCGACCCAGGAGGGACCATGAGGTCAGCAGTTCAGCCCGCTTGCCAGTCTCCGCCAACCTGAGCCTACTGCGCTTGCAGTCTGGTGTTCGGTCGTTTTGGACATTATGGCTCTTTATATATTAGGATAATCTTTTACAGTGAAATTTTACTTCCAAACTAGTTTCTCCTTCAGTCAATACAATTCAAAGACCTTCACTGCCATTAGTGATTAGTGAAAGGAATGTAACTTCTACCACTAGTCTAAAATTGACACTCTGTAGAAGGTATTTGCAAAACAGACACACATGTACTTGTACCACTCTTTCTCTTTTTTTTGGTGATGGTGAAAGGATGACTATAGATATAAATGACCCAATTTATGGGTTTTACTCTTTTTGAATACTATACTTATGACAGAAATTTAGTCATTTAAAGTTTTAATCCAAATTAACACATGATTTCAATGTGTCAGTTTTAACAAATATTCACGGTATGGAGCCCCCTATTCTTTTTAAAATCTTGTTCATTTATGAGGGAGAAAACAATAGATTAATAACAGATGCAATATTGCAACATTTTCCCTCCTGACCGAATTTAAGGTGGAATTAAATGTACTTTATACACCTGACAACTCTTCTGCCCCCAGCAGTCATCACACCCTTTGGATTTTCTTCTACAGAACCAGCCACTCTCCTTCCTAGACAACCTTCCTTCAGACCCACACCCTCTGATCAGCAGACAACCCAGTGACAGTGAAAATAACTCCTAATCTTTCCGTGTGAAGTTGTCCTACAGGAGGAGAGTCATAAAGAAAGGAGATCAAAATGTGAAATGTCTTTAAGCTTTCATTACTCATTCTTAAACGTCAAATACCATATCAACTTTGGCCGGCTTTTCTCATATATATACCCATGCAGACATATAAACAGAAATCATTAAAAAGAAAACATTAAAAAGATATTTGGGGGTGGGGGGTGGATAGAAAAAGGGATATAAGTGAACTATTGGCAAAAGTAGGCTTAAAAAGAGACCAAGTGAGAAGGTGCTCGAAGACAGAGGCTCCTGCCTGCACATAGAATGTTATTATTACATACCTTCCCATGCTGTCCAGCTCTTTCATAACAAATGACAACATCCTCCCACATTTCTAGTTTCTCAAATATCTGAAGGGCCGAACTGGTACATCCCAACTCAAAGAGTAAACTTGCAAGTTGGCGCTAGAAAAATCAAGTTAAAATAATGAACATTTCTTTATGCAAAGACAGATTTCTGTTTCACTTGCATGTTTATCTAATCTGCCAGTCAAGGGTCTGCTTATTGTAATAAATGTATACTTTATATAATTCAACATCAACCAACTAGGAATTTGCAATTATTCAATAGTTGCCTTTACTTTATAGGAAGTAAAGGATTAATAAACAATATAGACACAGTTCAAAATACTCAATATATCATTTTTTCCCAACAACTCAGAATTTAAAAAGCAAATTCAGTATTTCTTTCTTACCTAGAGATTCTATATATGACAATCTCTGATTTGTAAAGCTGAGAACCAATAAATCAATTTTTAAAGCCCTACTTAGAATGGCTATTATCAAAAAGATAAGAGATAACAAGTATTGGCGAGGATGTGGAGAAGGGAACCCTTGTGCACTGTTGGTGGAAAGGTAAACTGGCATAGCCACTATGGAAAATAGTACGGAGGTTCCTCAAAAATTTGAAAATAGAACTACCAAAACATCTAGCAATTCCACTTCTGGGTAGTTATTCAAAGGAAATGAAAAAATATTAGAAAAGTTTTAAAAGCAGGTGAGGTTCTTGTGTTGTTTTCGCTTAAATACACTTTTACTATTCTTCCGAAAGTCAATACATATTAAGAGCTAAGAAGTTGCCCGGCCGGCGTGGCTCAGTGGTTGAGCATGGACCTTTGAACCAGAAGGTCACAGGCTCGATCCCCAGTGTGGGGCCTGTGGGAGCAGCCGATCAATGATTCTCTCTCATCACTGATGTTTCTATTTCCCACTCCCTCTCCCTTACTCTCTGAAATAAATGAAAATATATATGATAAAGAGCTAAGAAGCTAATGGATATGAAAAATCTGGGATTGACTAAATGAAATATACTTGAAAATTATAATATATTATCAAAATAAATAAAGGGGCTGGTCCAATTCTTTTGTCTCTCATGAAGTATAAAGTATTAGAGAACTTGGCTGGGATATTTAGGATATTTGACTGGACATTTTTAAAAACTGAGCATGGTATGTGGAATAAATCCATGCAGTTCAGTGGTTTAAATTTTTCATTTAATAAAGAAAATTATGGCATCTAAGCACAAGGCTGGCTAGCAGTAAAGACTAATTCTCTTTTTACAGTAAACTATGTTGTTACTTCTTGATCTTTGAAAATAATACTTAAAGATATGGTTACTTCCTATAATGACAGAAAAAAATGACTTAATTTCTTAATGAAAGAGGATGTTTATGTAACTACCCAAAAACCCTAAAATCCACAGCTTCCAAAGCAGATTAAAATAAATATTTAGACTAAATTCTATTTGAACAGTATTTAATTAGCCTAAATTCTATTTGAACAGTATATAATTTAAGCTTCTGTTCAAAAACATATTAAAAGCTACACCCTCAACAGACACGTTTTGTCAGAATAATAGCAGAGAGTCTGAGAGCTTTATCCACCACAAACCACACAGTACAGAGCACTTCAGACATTTCAGAGATCATGGTCAACAGCATGCCAAAAGTTCCAGCTGTTAAACTTTCTTTATGAAGAAGCTACTCCTGCCTGGCCGGCGTGGCTCAGTGGTTGAGCATCGACCTATGAACCAGGAGGTCAAGATTTGATTCCCGGTCAGGGCACATGCCCAGGTTGCAGGCTTGATCCCCAATGTGGAGCGTGCAGAAGGCAGCCAATCAACGTTTCTCTCTCATCATTGATGTTTCTATCTCTCTCTCCCTCTCCCTTCCTCTCTGAAATCAATAAAAATATTTTTTTTTTTAAAAAAGAAGCTACTCCTTTCAGATGCTGTAACAAAGATTTTTTAAGTGTCTACATTTTATCAAGACTCCTTCAATAGATAATGTTAATTCCAATGTATAATAAACCCCCTAAGTCTCCTGTGCTTAATATAAATGACTCTAAGAAATCTCACAATGGGGACTCTGAGTCACTGGATGGTGGCTGGCATTTATAACTCTAAAGCTGGTTGCTCAAATGACAATAGTTACTAAATAATCTAGGAATTTCTGGCTGGCGTCATTTGGCTCCACCTAACATCTCTGTGCCATAGCTTCCTCACCTGCAAATTGGGGCATTTCACAAAATTGTTACAATAAAATAAGAGCATGTGTGTGAGATGCAGAACAAAATGCATGCCTCACACTAAGTGTGCAGTAAAAGTTGTTATTAATGGCTGTAATGAAGAGATAAGGAAAGGTGGTAAACTGGACTAAAAGTTGGGAAACTAGAGATCTAGTTTATGAACACCTATGTGACCAACATTGGAAAAGTATACAAAAGCCTCAATTTTCTTCTCTGTAAAATTAAGAAATTGGACCAAGTGTCTAAATCGCCTTCAGTGCTAAAAATTTTACAAAATAGGGAACCACACCTATAACACAGGAGAACTATGGATCAATGAATGGGTCGGGGGTCAGAATCTCCACCCCAACATGGAGTTAGGAGCTACAACAGGTAATCTCATATCCTCAAGAAGAGGAAAGTAGTTAAGGATATCTTACAATAGAGTACAAAATAAATGCTTTCTTTTACACTCTGTAAATAACCTGGTTTAAAGGTTCATTATTTGGCAGAAAGTCCTTACAGGGCTTTTAAATGTAAAAAGTTATTTTGAAAATGAAAGCATCTGTGGTTCTATTATTTAATTTCAAGGATTTTGTTTATCTAGTTTTAAATTCTTTTTAAAATGTTTTAAAAGTCTAATATCACTTTAATCAAAATAGCTATTTGAAGTAATGGACAATCCCCAGCTATTTTAATTCTTTTCACTGAAATATCTGAACACAGACATAAACTGGAAATCATTATTTTCTAATACATTTATCTTTCAAAAGCAAAGTATACCCAATGACAAACAACAATACCTGAATGGCCCAGTGAGGTGGTACTTGACAGCAATAGAAAATCTTCAGACGCTCCAATACAGATGTAGTCTTGTCTTCAAATTGGTCTGCAAGAGCCTTAAGAGCACACATCCTAATCAGAACATATATATTCTTTTTAACTTAAACAAGATTCTATTTGTAAAAGTTATATAAGTGGACACATAAATAATAAATAAAAAACACAAGTCATGGTGATAAGGTGATGGGGTGTATAAATTTTTTCTTGAATTTAAATATTAAAAAAAATTTAAAATTAATCAACATTAACATAAACATGTACATTAAAACTTATCAGAATGTTTTTAAAACTAAGACTTCCTCTAACAGTTCCTTCAAAGAACTATCCTTATTAATCAGCCCTTTTACTTTTTCTGAGAAAAATTGTTCTTTAGTGTATCTATTTCACAATCCTAACGTCACTTTGACAATGGCACTCTCTACTATGAATTGGAGAAAAATTATATGAAGAATTTCATTTAGGACTATTTTCTCAGGAACAAAGTGAAAGTGAAAGGTGGATCTCTTTGACCACAGAGAGTGAGTTTTCTTATTCTTCAGTAACAGAGCTGTAAGGCTGGACAGTCGTTCATGCAAGACCCCACTTAAGGGACAGTAGATAGAGAAAAGTGGTGTGCACTGAAGAACCACCAGCCGCCCCACCCTACAACTGGAATACCTACACCAAGCACGTCAAACGCAAAGGCTAACACAGGCTAAATAAACAAGGTTGAAGTTTATGTGGGCCGCAAAAAAACAAAACCTTCAATTTTCATAGAAACGTAGGTTTATTTCGATAGAGACATGCTGAATACAAAGGGCTGAAATAAATGAGTAATCTATAATAATAAAAGTGTAATATGCTAATTAGACCAGACGTCCTTCCAGATGACGTTCTGGATGAAGTCGGGGCTTCCAGGGTCGAGGCAGCTGCCACAGTTGCCTCGGGCCGAGGCAGGCCACTGTGGCTCCGAGGCCAAGGCAAGCAGCCATGGCTGCGAGGGCCGAGCCCCTTGCACAAATTTCGTGCATCGGGCTTCTAGTTGTTAACATAAAATAATAGAACATTTTAATAAAAATTAATATTTTCTTGAACATTAACTTACCAGACACTGAATAACTGCACAAATTAATAAGCGTAATGCAAATAAATCTATTTTTCTTGTTCTCTGAAAGCAAATTATTTCCTGTTGCACACACCAAACAAGTTAGTACAAGACTAATGATGTTGCAATTGACTGCTAAAATATTCGCTTCTAGTATTAGTGGAGAGAAATGGTGCACCTGCACGTAGGCGCGTAAGGGAAATGAATGCAACACAATTGTAGTAATCAGTCATTATGAACATTGTAGTTCGTTATTAATAATTATGTATAACAGGATATTGTAAAAATTAAGTTACAAAATTTTTATTAAAATGTTTCTTACATACCATTATATTGGCTGGGCCGCAAAAATATTTGTTGTGGGCCCCATGAGGCCTGTGGGCAACAAGTTTGACATGCTTGACCTACATGGATACTGAATAATTGAACATCTGGAAGCTACATCAGGAAGCAGACCAATATGACCAAGAGGGCTGACTCTGAGAAAAGGTACCATGGCCAACTGCAAAGTCAAAGGCTACCCTATCCAATGATCAAGTGGTCAGCCATCAAAAGAACTCACATATTCAGCATCTAAGTGAATGCAGACATATTCTGGAGTTCCTAAGCAAACACACGGACAGCAGCTCTATTATCATAATCATCTTCACCTGTCTCTTAATTTGTCATTCAGTTTATAGCAATTTTTTTTTCTGATATACATTTAGACCTTCTCTAAATAGTAACTGTTTTTGCATAGCATAGTAGTCAAATTTTATTTCCTTGCCAGTTGACTATTTTTCACAGCCCTGTCTCATGCGGAGTAGATAGTAACAATATGGCAAGGTTGATTTTCTGGGGTTAATACACATGCTATGGTTATGTAAGAGAATGTCCTTGTAAATTATTTGAGGATGGTTATGCACCATGCTGGCAACTTAGTTTCCAACACTTCAAAATAAAAAAGATAGCTGTACTGTACTTGCAACTTTTCTGTAAGTTTGAAATTGTTTCAAGCTTTTACAAAGTTAATTTTTAAAAATGAAGGTTTTTTTAAAAAAGAGAAAGAAAGAAGTAGCAAATCCAAACTTTCTCAGAAGAAAGAGAAGAAAGAAAAAGGACAAGAATGTAACATATCCCAGCAAAAGCACAGGACAAGGAGACCAGTTTCTGAGTGGGGAAACCATTCCTCAATTGGGAGGCTCTCTCTACTATACTAGGTGGGAAATATATGGTTAGCCTAAGAATATCCTGTAGAATGAGAGGATACTCATTACATCACTTGTTTGACAATCCAAGATGTTATTCCATCAAGTCAGTCAGAACAAATTGAGACATAACCACACTCCTAAACCATCTTGGTCAAAATATTTTTAAAGCTTTCTGGCCTTACTTCAGAGAAACTTAATAGCAAAAAGGTTGCATGCTTCTGCCCAAAGCTGTTTAGTTGTATGAAGGAGCAATGAGAAGAAAAACTTCTGGCTGAATACATATGGTTACAATACATAAATAAAAGGTTCACTGAATTACTTCATCAAAAGGGAGGCAAATTTTTCTTTTTATCAAATTCTTTTTCTTTCTCTGGAAGGAAAAAAAAGTAACTAATGCTTATTTAATAATAATAAAAAGCCACATTTACTTTTATGAAGTCCTAATTACATGAAAAAACATTTTCTTTTCAAGAAAAACTCACGCTGTTTGCTGTAGTTACTGCATCTAGCGTAAACATATTAAACACCCAGTAAACACTTCGTGATTATTAATAAGCAATTTTGTTATGTATTTCAGATACTCTAAGATACTTTTAGATGATCTCACAGTAAGTGTCCCTGATAGTCTCAGATCCTCTCCAACAGCAAAGACCACAGCAGAGAGAGGGCAGGGAACCAAACCTATTTGAGCTGGAGCCCATGAATAAGCCCGGGTACAAGTACACTCCCGCTCCACAAGAACCTGACTAGGCCATATGTACGATAAAGATAAAGATTAAGAACAGAATTCTAACCTATTTTTACTCCTACATAAAATATACTTCCTCGCACTTTAAGCAAGAAAATCACCAAAATAAGAACCACCTACCAACAAAATTTAGGACATTTAACTACTATACAAAAGCAAAGTACTGTACTCTTTTTTATTTGCAAAGTTACTACCAATAGACGGGCATATTTACAGCACATCTCTACATTTTTCAGACTAGAATTATTTCTAGCAACTCATTCTTAAATAATTCCATTATATTCAAACAATTAGAATCCCATACAGACATGGTGAATAATTCCATTATACAAATAAACTGGAGTCCTTTCAGGAGAAACAGAGCTGGTAAGTGAAGTGACCTGATTCTGTTCTGGGTTTATCTAGCTGGTCAGCTAACCACAATGACACTCACCTAGGAGGTTTCCTACACGATCTCTGCAATCCCAATATTGTGAATATATGGCTTTATCAAAAGAGTATTTGTTTTACTTCAAGCATTTGGGGTTTGTTAGTTGGTTTTAGCCACGCTTAGTGGAACACAAGTACACGTACATTCGTTAGGGGTGAACCAAGTACCCAAATAGTCTAGGAAAGAATGTAGGGAGGTGAATGCTAGATGAGTACTAGGAGAATGGGACTGAAAGAAAGTGAAGCCTCAGTTACTACTGTGTATATTTATGTTCACGAACATGGGCGTAAACAATGTGCTCAGTGAGAAAACAGCACTTTGCAAGCTTTCACGTACACCCAGAAATTTAGGTAAATGGTCTCTAGACCAGTGTCCCACCCTATCACTTGCCATTTTCTCTTTCCAGCTTCTAAATGTCATGAATTTCACGAGCACTTGGTTATAGTTAAAGCTGGAGGTGGTCTAAAAGGGGGGGGGGGGGGAGAGAAGAGAGAGAGAGAGAAGCAAATATACCTTAAACCAATCATGAGGAATTGAAAGCCAGAGTGTACTCTAGGAGGGTGACAGAAGACATGGATAAACGGGAATGACAATGAATAGAGAGTGAGGAATAGACTAGGGCTCAGTCTGGGCACAACTAGAGCACAACCAAAGACAACTTCGTGTTGTATCACTACTGTGATATGAGACTGTCTTCAAGTTTTAAGACCCTCTTTTAAAAAGTTGTTTTCCCCTCCAAACCTCACCTCGAAGCATTTATACCTTGAGTGTCCTTTGAGAAAAGGTTACCTGGGCATGTGGCTTCCCTAGCCCCACGCAATAACAACGCTCCAACCTTCAGGAGCCCCAGTACCGCAGGTCAGAGGGTATTGCTATGATTCAGGAAATGAGAATCATCCCCAGAAAGCAGTGATGTGTCCTCGCTTCTTCATGTTCTGTTCTCAGGAGGGAAAAAACTTCCCCCCAAAACTAGAGAAGAGCAAGACTACATTTTAAAATCAGCACACGGGGAATGATTTGGTATAAAAGAACAATTCCGAACCAGGTGTGGTAGGATGTAGACTTCATGTGTTCATATCTAAAAATATGGCGCATGTATCTTTAAAAGAACAGATCTACCCTTGCACTGAAGGCCATTCATTCTCTCTAGCATGATATCAAAGTTTTTATCAGCTTTCTGAAGAGCCAAGCAGAAATTAGCTGATAATCTAAAAGGTATGACTGATCATATGGCTGGAGCTATTAAAGATTAACAGTGCTCCTCTGCCTAAGGCAGTCTTTTCCAAACCCCCACCTCCCAACCCCGAATCTCGGAGAGCTAGACTGAAGAGCCCTATTTTAATAAGCAACTTGGAAGTGGTGTGTAGGTTCAGGCAAGTCTGGGAAATGTTGCGTAAGGCTGTTAAGATGCACCAAGGGGGCTCTCCCAGGGAAAGCCAATGTGTCAGTTCAATCAACGGAAGTGACTCTCTCCAAAGAACTCAAGTGTGTCCCTGCCTGGAACCTGACCAAAGCCATCGCTTAGTGTCTCTGGGAGGGTGCTTTAGTGGGGGTGCTTTACTCCGTCCCATTAGTAAACTTCTTGGCTATTTCCTATTTCTTTA